CGTCTGCATCGAAGCGAACAAAATAAAGGAAATTTTTAAGCTCATACAGTAGGAATGACCCGTACCCAAATAAATTGATAATTTCAATGCCAAATATTTAATGATATTACTCTCGTAGAGTAAATCTTTGTAAAAGATAATATTGTGAGCGTACATATTGAAACCGTACAGTAGTGTTTCCACATCTAAAATACATAAAATGTAGTTTACAATATTAAATTTAAGCAGGTTGCAGTAATAAACCAGCCCACATAACAGTCCAGGTCCCCATACCGTAGGACTCAATGTCGTATGATACAGTCAGCCCCACTAAAAGTAACAATCACTGCGAATATGCTAAAATAATGGCCATAGTACCAAATCACATGCCATGAACCACTAAATACTAGTACAAAGAATACAGTAGACCCAGAACAGAGCCCTGCGGATACCCTGTACAGTACATTACAAGTCACTAACCCACCATCAAAAGCTCCAACATAACTGCGTACGCCAAAGGTAATGTTATAAATTTAAATATTTTTTTTTTTTTTTTTGTTTATTTTTGTAAAACATATTCATCCAGACAAAGATACCACAGCTCACACAATCAAGCTGTTTTCCAAGTCGATAAAAAAAACGGCAACACAAATATGTTTCTCTAACTAGTCGTGATAATAATATAATACAGTCAACCACTAGCCTCGGAGTTCCAACTATTGTCATAAGAACGATCCACAGTCTGTAACAAAAGGGATCTCATACATTAACGCATGGTATCAGACTATCAAGTAGAAAAATACGCGTCCAATGTCCTGTTATTGAAATGACCCATAGTTTCAATGAAACCTTAATCGAAAAACAACACTAACACACTGCTATCAAGACGGGGATCAGATAGTTTACTGACAAGGCTTTACGTCACACAAAAAATAGGTTATTCACCGTGTTTAGCTCCGCGGAAATATACCGGTTCAAGAGCACATATTGAATGAAGCAAAATAATATCCGGGAATAATCAATGCAAGTTTTAAGGTACCAAAAGAGAGTCCTGAATCGCGCCAGAGGGCCCGAGATTGTACAGATCTTGTAATTAGTCACGAATGAAACACTCTTCACTCGAAAAATTGTAAATGAATAATGATAGGAAACACACATTCATTTATATATTTTTCACAAATACCAAGCTGAGTAGAATGCATGCCATCCGCTGTGTTTGTGTTACATTACGTACAAAAGAAGTCTAAAAAAAATAACTTCTGCGAGAGTATTAACTATAAGTCGTAACACCTAACTCACCAAACAGATACAATCAGGGAATTAAGACACTGTTTGCTAGGAGTTTTAAGCATACGCTGTATGAAATGCTCAACTGAAAAAACAACAATATGAGTTGTCTTAATGCCGACAATGCTATAGGCACCAATTTTCCGTATACGACACCATATTTGGTTATCTTTTATTCACACAAAAAAAGTACACTGAATCCATTGTTTTATTTAGAGACAGACTCCCATGCTCTCCCATTTCAGCAAAGAACTTTAACGTATTATAAGCAGTTGTTAAATATTGCGTGAGTGTAGCACTATCTTCAGGATCTTGTAAACACACACGGAGAAATTTAAAATACCAGCAATCTGTTAGGGAATTGTTGTGTTCTTTTTTTAGTGTTGAATAGAGGCGAACCAACAGCATTCCTAGCATGCGCAAATGAGACAAGTCCGTGGTTCGTTACACCATGGTATCGTCGTGCCAGAACGGATTAAACTCTAGACTCGAGCTCCTTCCAAACATGTTCGTTAACATTAATTAACTGCCAAGTCAATTAATATGAGTTTACACACTGTTTCTTTCAAAATCGGTAAATATATCTTGATTTACGTGCACTGAATCATATGCTTGTTTTGTAGATGTACTTTATGGCATCTGCTAAGAAGTAATATAGTTTGTTTCATGAAACCATAATTGCTATTATTCCACTGAAAACCTGGTGCAACGCTTGCTTTATATATTCGACTTCCATACAAAGATGACTAATTCAATGGAGCGGATAGTTGCTTGTCTTGTACATAATCATATACTACTGTGTTTTTTAAATAGTTTGAAATAAAGTCGAATGGTGCTTAATGTATTCTGCATGAACATAAAGAGTGAGTTCATCTAGTTTACGTTCAGATACTCATCAGTAAGGATATCAAATAAGCAACGACGAGAACTATAACAATTATGTGAATCGGCGGTCTTCTCCATAAATTCTAATGTGAAAAAGAACTGGCAAAGACCATAGGATGGGACAAGTAATAAGACAAATAAATCTCAATTTCCAAGAAGGCCAACAATCCAGTTAATAAGTGCTGGGTTGTGAATCACAATCCATTAATTCCCATTATGTACATTGATGCACCGCCGCCCCTAGTTTCTCTGCAAGAATGTAAGGCTTTGTAACCGTCAATATCATATAAGTATGTTTCATTTTCAGATAGCCACGTTTCTACCAACAACAAAATATCACACTTACTTTCAATCACATAACATTGTACTTCTTCAAATTGGTCTTAAGCTCTGTGTATTATTTCACGGTAACTAGGCAGTTTTTAAATTTTTTCGACTAGGTTTTTAAATCATTTACACCTATTACATGAACGTTGCCGTTTCGGCTTTTCCATAGGTATAATGGCATAAAACCACAAATATATATTCCAACCGCATTTCTAGTAAACAAAATATATAAAAAAAAAAATAAAAGATTTTTTTGTCAAATCTATTCAATTTAAATCGTATTTATAGTTAAAACCTAGGTTGTGAGGTAAGAAATTTGCGTCGGCCCGACCGCGAATTAATTATTTACCCAAAATGAATATCTAAAAAAGAATGCCTGCAAAAGCGTGACTCGGGTTTGAAAAAATGCTAGGACAACTAACCCATGCACAAGAGAATAACAAACGTCACACGCAAGCGAGTAGTTTTCGCGTGCATCTGGCGGACACTTTTGGCGGAATGAGCAGTCCTATAGTAATTCTTGGGCGATGACAATGCGGTGATAATGGCAGGCAGGCCAACGCATCGTTACTGGGCCCGGACTCTTCTATTCCTGAAGGACGTACTTACTGCCATGGTCCTTAAAGTTGAATATTTTATAATAAAATATTTAAGAAATGAAAAGTTAAAAACATCAAAATATATTATATTTTTAAACAATAGATGTCGTTGTCCCTGAAACGTGCCCCGCCCTGTTGATACAGATCCCTTCACTAATCTTAATTATGTGTTAATGTTGACAAGTTTAATGTCAATTTTAGTAATGACGATTTAGAGATGACCCAGACAAAACTGAATAAGGGGTTGTAGCATACCCATACATTGAAACCGTTTTTTTCATGTTCCATCAAACTAATAATCGAGTTATTTAACTACAAATTAAAAAAAAAAAAAAAAAAAAAAAAAAAAAAAATACTAACATACCAAAATTAGAAAAATAAGGATGAGCAGGGAACTACACAACAAAGAAGGTTAGTAGAGAACTTTATACGTAACCACTCAAATTATATGAGCAGTAGACCATTATTAACCACTCATTCTTTATTCTATAGAGTAAATAGATCGCTTTTCCTTCCAGTAAATTTACGCCCTGAAATTGAAAACAAACGACAGAAACCATTTCTGATGTATTAGTTAGTTGAGAATACTCAAAAATGGACCTGCTGGAATGACATATATAGTGAAAAAATATCAACTCACAACGCAAGATATATTACCTAATACTATCATAATAACAAAAAGGCTAGTAAATTCCTTAGTTTCCATAGATTACTTATATTCACCTTGCAGACAAAGATAATGAAATAGAAAGCAGTACATGGAGAAGTACTAGTGTAGTGGGTTTATTCTCCTTCACTATGAATAATAATTAAAAGAAAGTAGGTATGTTAATGAATCTGAAAATTCGACTTTCAAGTGGAGAAAGATACGTCAAAATATTTTTTTAATGCATTTTTTTTTATGGGAAATTTTATTCTCTTAATTTTAAGAATCAATTAAAACTGGTGTAGTGCTAATAATAAATTATCAAACAATAAGGTAACCAAAGGCAAAACACCTCTTCCTGAAAGGTCGGGTAATTTCATGTAAATTTCTTGTAAAGACTGTAATCAGAAATATAATGGGCAAAAATCTAGCACGATCAATATCTAAGATTAAAGAAACATTTGGCTCAGAATAAGATTGAACCCGATACAAACTTGCGTGCCGGAACATAGTGTGTATAAACGAAATTGTAAATCTAAACTGAATTAATTAAACAGTCTCAAATTACAGGCTATAGATGCATAATTAAAGCACATCAGAATAAAAATGTAAACAAAGAAAAACAAGACAAAACAGGTCCAAATCCTGCCAAGTTTGTTCCTACTACGCTAGTGGCGGAAATCTAATTATTGTTACGCTCAGTGGGCTCCGACTTGGTTGGCTAGATTTTGCCAAGATTTTGTAGATTGTACTTTAATTTATAATCATCTGCTAAAACTTTAGTTTATAATCATCTCTGATGATGCTAACATGGTTGAAACGCGCGTTCAATGTAAAATTAAAGGTGTTTTGGTGTAATGTGGTGATGTAGTGTATTTTTATGCAACTTCATAAGTTGACCAGTTAAATAAGTAGTCTATCTGTCAAAAGTGTCAAACACGTCAAAAGAGAGAAAAGAAAAACTAGGCCCCACCACAGCAAAAGAGCCGACGGTTTACCTACTCTCCGATCCCTACGCCGCTATAACCAACCAAAGCAGACTACTAATAACGCAACGTCTTTTCCCATAGACCGCTCAAATGCCCGGCCGTCCTGCTCTATTAGGATATCAAGTTTAATTTCCAACGTTTTCCAAAAGCATCTAAAAAAATATTAATTTTTATTTTTGTTTTTTTCTGAAATATCACCATCAATAACTACCTTCAAATGATTTTGCCACTACGTTACATAGTCCACAAATACAGCTCTGCACTTCCATATTGCTCCCATATGTCCACTGATTTTTTTCCTACGTGTGCATCAATATCGGCTAACGTAACAGCCTAAAATTTTACCTTTATTTCTCTTCGGATTTTATGATATTTTTCACAAAAATTTATAAACCCTTTTTTCTGGATTAACTCCAGTCAGCACAGTCATACCTTCTTTCCGTATGTACAGTGTGTCCCATTTTGGTTGAAATCACGGTATCTCCGTTACTAGTGAAGATAGAAAGGCTGCGGTTTGCACAAATCTGTCCCACTTTTTTGTCAAATGGAAGATGTAAACAAAATTTTCATAGCCCTCTTCGTTTCCGAGCAACAGGGTCTTTTTGAAAATTTTGCAGTTTGGGACACCCCCTGTATCTCTGTTATTGGTAAAAGTATCGTTTAGCTACAATACAAAATGGGACATACTGTACAATAGAATGTGAAAAAACACTTAAAAATGTAAAAGAATATTTAAAAAATTTAAAAACATAGAACCAGTGATATTTTCTTATAAATATTTTTCGATTTATTTTTTGGAAAAACTGCTAAAAAGTTGAAATTCTGCGACCCAAAATTAAACAGTCTACAAATTTTTGCGAAAAAAATGTTTTTTTTTCTAGTTACCTCAATCTTTAATTTGACTATTTTTCAGTAAAAACTAAGAAGATATACAACGATTTTAAAACTTACCCTAGCTCCAGCTTCTAATAATTCCACTGCAAATCGAAATCCTAGGCCCGCAGCTCCACCCGTGATAAGGGCCACCTTACCTTTGATATCAAAGTTTACCATTTTCAAGCCAAAAATATTCAATCGGTCTTCTACGTGCGACTAATACTGCACACAAATTGTTTATGGTGCACAACAACGTCCTAAAAGGATACGAAACGTCCAAAAGGTTATCGCAACGGCATTACAAACAGTTCACACGTTTATATAGCGATTAAAAATGGTTCTAATCTAAGTAACAACATACAACATAGGAAAATTATTATAGACATGCAGTTTGACAATCAGATCTCATCAAAAACGACGGGGCAACGGTAAGGGGAATGCAGTTTTCTGAAAACATGGGTGATTTAATTCATAAAATGTTCAGAGGCGTGCGCTGTTTTGTTTAAGTATACCAAGTATTTCTATAATAATATCCAGCAAACTTAATACTATTGTTCTACTTTAAACCGTATCTACTTTGTCTTTAGTTTCTGAGAGGTCCGCATTGGATCAGAAAAGATTAGTAGGCCAGTGCAAATAATTTTGAATTTGCAAACATTTTTAGAAAGCTGCGACCATTGAAGATAGTTAGCCTTAGTAACCCTTATTAACATACTAAAAGTCTCCATTTGTCCGATGTGTGCGTCATCAAAAAAAATCGGCCGCCATCTTGAATTTTGGTACTTTTTGGGAAAAAATGTAAATAACTCGAAAACGGTGCCTTATAGCGAAAAACTTCAAGAGGTAAAAATTAAAGAGAATAAAAAATTCTATAAGAATCAATAGAATAATAAATAATAGTTTAATATCCTAACGCAGTGACCTAAATCGACTGCTCTCAATCATTTCAGATCATTGAGCCAATCAGTTATCCGTATCAGAAAATTGCCAAAGAACTTTAACTTCCGAATCTCACAAGTACGAGTAAAAATGTATTTTGTTAGAATGGTATTTTCCAAAATTTCTTTCCTTTTATTTATTATCTTCTTTTTAAACGGTTTTATTTAGCTCGACCCGTACGGTATTTATTTATTTGTTTGGGTCAAAATTAGAAATTGAAATTTAAGTACCTTCCTGTTGTCAGATTGATCTGAAATTTGGTACACACCTTTAGTTCCGATGACAATACAATATAGTAACATCAATAACATCGTAAATCTAAGATGGCCGCCGGTACAAAATGGCGGATTTCATATTTTTCCACAACCCCCTCAATATGGGTATCAAATGAAAGGGCTACACTAGTAGAATACTGTGATTATGACAAAATTTAAAATCCAAGATGGACGTCGTTACAAAATGGCGTATTAGGTGAGGGCATGAGTAGTCGTGTCCAGAACAGTTGTGTCCAAGATTGTGTGACGTTAGAAGGACAGATAAAAAAAATAGGTGATTAGAAGTACCTACGTAGTTAGCTTTAGCACCCAAGTTAAGGTAATAGGTTAAAACGTGCTGAGGACTGTATGGCATTAGGGTGGCTAAAAATGTAATGTCGCAAGCGTTTTCCCCTCAAGATTGGGCGCCTCTTGTTGTATATTATAGCCTTGCCCCTCTACTGAACCTCTGGGGGGTCGACCGTTAAAATGTCCATTACTCGTGGGAACAACATGGAAACGATAAATAAAAAAACAAACAAAAATAAAAAATCGGTAAAAAAACTTTTAAGTTAAACGGTTTTATCTTATGTGCACTGAAAACTAGAAAATAATAATAACAATTAGGTATTTTGAACTTCTAGTTCAGAAATATTTTAGTACTAGGCAGAATAGCTTTTAGGCATATTAGACTAAAATAAAAACGTGGGGCCCCTCTGAAATCCTACCTATGGCAAAGCATATCTTTATACTTTGGTAGATCATGAGCTCGGCGTTCGCTGGTGAAGCCGCCACGGCTGGTTATTGATTGTCAAAATGTCCAGTTACGATTATAGTAAGTCGATGCAATCCACACTTAGTATAGAAGAAAGTATTACAGCAATAGTTAATGGGCCCCACGTTTTTATTTTAGTCTAATATGCCTAAAAGCTATTCTGCCTAGTATTAAAATGTTTCTGAACTAGAAGTTCAAAATACCTAATTGTTATTATTATTTTCTAGTTTTCAGTGCACATAAGATAAAACCGTTTAACTTAAAAGTTTTTTTACCGATTTTTTTTACAATTACATAGTAAAAGGCATTTTCGGCGCATTAATTTTTTATTTATTCCTCCTTCTCCTAAATCTTTTTAGTAACCAATTTTCTGATCTAATTATGACTAATTAGAATGACCCTTTTCTATCCCAGAGTCGGCGCTTATGTTCTAAAACGGTTGGGTTGGGTTACTGATTATTGCAAAAGTTTTGTTGATTTTTAATAAATCTTATCATTAATCCTCTAAATTGGTTTTTCAATTTATTTAATGGTTCGTACAGTAAAAAATAAGTATATTAATGATTTTGCTCGCTTTTATAATATGCTGTATTTGTTTATGATATACACCCATTTTTGCAATTGATAACATATGTATTGCCTTATTACTGAAAGATAAGACATAATATTCATATTCAGGGTGTTTTAATGCTTTAAATATCTCTATACAGGATATGAGTCTCTGTATAATATATTCCCTACGTATATCATGAGTGTTTTACTCTAATCTTTCTTATAAAGTATACGGAAATGACGTTATACATTATTTGTAATTTATGAGAAAAATATCTCTTTATAATATATTTATTTCATAGATTACAAATTTACAAAAAAAATCAAATTTATAAAAAAGTATATAACAACAAACTCTAATGGAACTTCCCATAGGAGATGCAAGACCTTGTAGTTGGTGGGGAAGCTCCTTGTAAGGTGCTAGAATAATCTCCTCTAGCACTTTGGCTCGGTCTAAGAGTCTAAGAAGCATCTCACTGTCTTGTTCCTGGCACTTGCATGGGAATTGGTGGCCAGGGAATTGCACCAAGATACATAACGATGCCGGACGTAGCTATCCCGTCCCTCATACCAGGCACTCTCTACTGTCTGTGGTCATGTCTCACGGGTAGAAGGTGTGGAGGGGTCTTGGCTTTACCGCCCGGACAAAGAGGAGACAACCTCACCAAAAACCTAAATCCTATCCCATACAGCACATCAAATCACATTTACGATGTGTTTACATTATTAGATGTAGACACAGGGTGACACAATTCCCCCGATGTAAATATGCTACGTTTACACATTGTAGTTCAACACGTATGCACAAAGGTTAAACGTCCGCCTCACAATGTAGCCACAGTATAGCATTTACGTATACACAAAGTAAGGGATACACAGTGTTCCGTAGGATACACAGTGCTTGTGTATTACTTTTAAACTCTGTTTACACATTGCAGTTGTGACTACCGCGTGTATACGTATGTATTTTGCTTCGTATATACATCTTGTGCTAGATAAAACTACTTCTTATGAACGAATTTAGGAAATAATACAAGTTTTGATGCCTATCTTTTCGTTCTTTTTAAGAAATATTTATTCAATGATACCAATTATATCTTTTTAGAATGAAAATTACGAAAACAAAACTTTGTATTTTCCAAAAGTATCTCGATCGTCAGTTCAAGAGAAGTAGCCTTAAAATTGTTCCTTTTTTGTTATGTATGTACCATTTTTCTTCCATAAAATGCATTAAGTGGTTAAAAAATAAAATTCGTATATTTCTATAGCGCAAATAACACAATAATAATAATTATTTACACTGCAGAAACCAGAACTAAGAAAACACTGTAAAAGAACAGAATTTGTATCAAATTGTATTAAAAATATAAGTACCTAGTATAACAACATATTAAAATGGTAAACACTGGTACATCGCCACGATTTGGTGGACCTCGTTTAGTCATTTTGTCTCCTCTTTTCCTTCCAAACAGTTGGTTTGTTAGCATACACTTTCATCGAGCACTCTGCTGGACTTTGTTGTATTTTATTTCCAGATTAACAATCTCACCCTTAAATTTTATATGAAAGTGATTATTGAATATTAAACATATCTGTATATTGACCCATCAATAACTTACCGAATATCAGTGTAAGAAGTTCTTTGAAGTGTTTAAATCTTTCTTTCCCTGGTCCATTTAGATTTTTATTATTTCCAAATTAAAAAAAAATATATTGCAGAGCTAACCTCTTTATCATTATACGAGAATATTTGGAGTTTTGATTTATTAGTGTCAAAATTTGGTAAATTGGGTATCGAGTAAGGGAAGAGTCGCTGCTCTAATATTAATAATACTCTTAGGAAGGTGTAACAAGGTAATTAAAAACTTGTGCTTACCTTAAAATCTCTTTTAAACTACACACAAACAGAACATTTATATAGAGCTTCCGAATGATAAAACAATAATGACTGCTAACACATACCACTCCTAGAAAGGAGGAAGGAGAGAGGACACATAAGATACACTTGGTCGGTGTGTCTACGCTGAGGCTATCCGCGCGTGCGCACACCTTCGTTTCATGCTAAAATGTAGACACAACAGTACACTATTACAAAGTGTCTATACAGATATTTATATTATGTGTATACGTCACATTTTTACAAGGTGTGTACTATAGGCACAACTATGATACAAAGTATCACACATACATATGACTTATACATTGTATGTCTCATATACCGACGTCAGATTTCATCATTTTAATAATTATTTGTTACGTTACAAAAAACTCTTTAGAATCTTGAGTGCATACGGTATACAACTAGTAAACACTGTATCACAGAATTCTATCAATAGAAACCTGCGTGTATCTCATATGTATATGCTAGAACTAGATGAACACTTAGGTTCACTTTAACATATTTTGTTTCTCATGTGTCTCCCTTGTAGAAACGTAATTTCATTTGGACGTGCTGTATGGGATATTTGTAGATTTACTTAAGATTTAGTTTCATTAATTTTTATTATTGTTAACAAATATTTTCTTCTCTGTGGGTTAGTTGAACAGGGGGGGGGCTAATATCTAATCTGCTCAACTGAACCTCGCCCTTTTGTACACTACTTTTTTTCTCTTTCTTCTATTATTGTATATGGCACAGTTGTACAAATAAAGTCCTTTATTATTATTATTATTATTAAGAATCTCAACATAAGCAGATCAACAAGAAGAAGAATACTCAATATTGGTAGAGTTCCTAACATTGGTGGCAGCAGTTCATTACAGGGGACAGTTTGCCAGCAGATTTCCTAAACCTCTTAAAGAAACTGACATACCAATCCAGCCACAAAGCCATCACACAGACAGACAGGAAGAGCAGGGCCAAATACTAACCCCTGCGGTACGTCTTGGCGAGTTGAGGTCTCATTGCAGTTGGAAAATCCCCAGTAGAAAAACAATGCCAATTTGTGATTAAACTGACGATTTAAATTAAAGTATTTACACACATATTTTGTTTTCAAACAATTTAAAATAAATTTTCTTGTTATAAATAGAACTTGAATTGGTTTTATTAAATTGAAAACAATATTTCCAGTACATTGACACCACACGTTTCCCTTTGACCTAGCTTTGATAAGCTCCAAATGGAGATTTTTTTTGTTATACTTAATATAGCTGGCCATGAATATGAAACAAATAAATATATCAAATGGTTTGTGGTTATCTATATAACTATATAACTGTTTTATTTTTTTTTATATGAAAGAAAATTAGTCATCAGACAGTTTGTCACTTATTAAAGAATCTTATTGTATATTACAGTTGAGGGTTGGAACCTTTGGTGTTACACAGCAAAATAAAAACACTAAATCACCACAATACACCAAAACACTATTACTTTTACACGGGACGCGCGTTTCGCTAACCATGTTAGCATCATCAGCAGATGATTATAAACTAAAATACAATCTACAAGTTGAGCGTTTATATACTCGCTCAGTGGGCACCGAGTGGGCGTGGCAAGATCTAGCCAACCGAGTCGGAGCCCACCGAGCGTTACAGTTAAATTTCCGCCCCTAGAGTAGTAGGAACAAAGAACTTGAAGGAATTGGACCGTTGTCTCTGTTCATACTATCTTTACATTTATTAATTCTGATGCTTTCATATGCATCTAATTGCGTGTAATTTGAGACTTGTTTAATTAATTTTAAATTATTAAGATCTATACAATGTTCTTTATCAACAATATGTTCGGCAACGCAAGATTTATCCGGTCTACCATATCTTATCTGAGCTAAATGTTCTTTAAATCTAGTTAATATTGATCTTCTAGTTTGCCCAACATATTTCTGATTACGATCTTTACAAGAAACCTCATAAATACTTAATAGAGATATAAGATATATATAATAATAGATAAATAATAATAAATATAGATACCTAATATAGATAAGATATGGTAAGAGATATGGATAATTCGATTTCAATCAAAATTTCAGTGATTAGAATATAAGCAGAATTGGTATAGCTTATGCATTAGATTCATTTATTTCAATAAAATTTATTGAAAATTAAGAAGGAAATAACTAAGAATTTACTAAAATAAAAAATTAAAAGCAACGAAAAAATGGGTAAACATTTTAGTATTTTATCTATAAAACACAATACAGAAGGTTCCACATTAATACATTCACAGTAATTGAATTCCGAGGTAAAAGTATCTGGGCACTGCACTAATATGGAAAATACTTGAATCAAAATGTAGACAAAAAGATAGAGAAAAAAATTGCAACAACTGTATAATCAATTGGTCTCAGGTACCACCAGATTGACAAAAAAATCAACTTCTCTGTTAGGTAGTACGAAATTAGCAAGGCCCACTGGTTGTGAATAAAAGGCTGAACTGAACTAAATGATAGTTATCTTGAATCTTCCTCCTCTACAGAATCATCTTGTTGTAGTCCCAAATATGAGGGACAGAAACAGAAAACATAATTGTAGGTACAATAATTTACTATTTCTGAGCTCTGGTACGAATATAACATATACGAATACTGTAAACAAAATAATCTTTATTGTTTTTAATAACGTTGTAATGTGTATGTAATATTATCCAGTAATATAATAGGGTTATAAATTTTAATCAGGTAATGCAGCGTCTAAGTAACGATTATACACAACACACCAAGGGTGTATTGTGTATTACACTAATAATAAGTAAACCATATCTTTGTTTGCGATGATATTTTTTTTTATTTTCAAGTCCTTACTTATCGTGATTGAATTGGGCGAGCCCCCAGCAACCGAACCGTTTACACAAATCGTTTTTGATCCGAACACACGACAAATTGCTCTTAATAAAATGAAATCTCATCCAATAACGGTTTAATTTTGTCCGACGGCAATAGTGATCCATCTTCAAGATCCAAACAAACAGAATTAACGAATTACAATACACACATTGGCGAGTATACGTACACTCAATGACACCTCGTACACCCCGGTATCACTTTACGCGTATCAGTTTGTGAACGATTACAACTCGACCAACATGAACCAGAACGAAAAGCTGAAGAAAGTTGTGTCGCTGATTAAGGAGAATTGTTTCTCCAAATTGGGGGAAGTCCAAAGCGATGGTGGTAGTACCTGCGAGAGGATTTTCGACGGTCTGTACTGCTGGCCTCGAACTAAAGCTGGACTCTTGGCTGTGCAGTCCTGTAATAATGATCTACTTAAGTCTGTAAATAAGGTAAGATTATTCTATACAGGGTGTTTATACATGTGCAAATATTTTCAAGGCTGATAAATCTCGATAAAAGAAGCATATTTTCTCTTTCCCGTTTTTCAATTAAGTCCTAAATAATCGAGTTATTTTACTTTGAAAATTTAAAAATAATCATTTTTTTACTTAAATTTTAAGTACAGGGTTTTTGTCCTTAATTTAACCTACCATCTATGTTGCTACATTATCAAGATATTATGTTTTTAACTAAAAATTAATAACATTTCCGAAAAATACAAAATTTTCAATTTTTTTCTTTCGCGAAAAGTCATAGTCGTGTTTATTAGTTTTATTATTAGTTTTTTCGATGTACTTAAACAGCCGTTAAACGGTAGCCTACTAAAATGCCGTTAATAGATATTGTGACGTCGTTCATGTCGGCGGAAAGTAAAGGTGCGTATTCATTATCTGAACGAACGAACGAACGAGCGAGCGAACGAATGGAATTCGGTATATTTGGACGGTGGACCGAACGCATGCGGTCGTTCGTTTGTTCGTTCGCTCCGCGATCCGTTTCGAGTCGGTACATCAAAGGCGTTCGCAAACTAATGGGTTAAGGTGTTTTCGTTTGGTTCTAAAATCCGGTCCCGTCCATACTACTACCGAACGAACGAATGAATGAACATTTGTTCGTTCGTTCGGATAGTGAATACGCACCTTAATGCCTAGCCTTAAGCATTCTACAAGAGCACCTGTGGACTGTGGGTCAGTGGCTGCGGCTATCGCTTCGTAAGCGAATGGTCCGTGGTTCAAATCTCACGCCGACCAAGACTTTTTTATATTTTTTTTGCTTGTAGCGTGATCTTATTGCATTGGTTTCGCTCTTTTTAGTTGGATTGGTTTAGTTATTTGGCGGGTTGGTTAGCGTGGTTATTTGGAGGGTCTTAATTCATTGGTTCTTTTTTGATGGCATCTTGGTGAACATCTCAAAGCGCAACTTTGCTCCAATTTATCCATGTTCAATGTTCATATCTATTACGGATTAAGGTTACCGAGATACCAATTTTGTACCTCGAATTTGGCACCCTGTATATACAGTATGTCCCCGGAGAGTCTTCTTTATAAAAGGAAACTTTTTATTATTAACTTTTTGAGAAAAATGATTTTTTTGTGGAAATTTTCGCTTGTTCCAAAATGGTTAATTCTGTTTATGTTTTTCCAAGTTTCCATACATAAAAATGAAAATATGGTGGTTGAATTTTTAAGCTCTAAAAATCAAAACGCATTTCTATCCTAGATTTCTATATCATTTCGTTTTCATTTATTGATGGTTGGTTATAATATTATTAATTTTGATTAACGTCATATTTTTGCTATATGTATCACCAATCAATTGGATTGGTCGATTGGTGTAACATCAGCGTCGCAGCCACCATATTTCGAAGAGCCGAAAACGGCACTCTACACATTATATGAAGAGTAGAGACACAGACTAATCCAGGTGGATGACACTTCTTATGGGAGAACTGGAAATGGTTCAAAACTTGACTACAAGTGATTTTCTAGGAATCTTCCTTACCGATAAATTATTGACAAGAGTGACAGATAAAACCTTGACGTTCTGTCAGTATTACAGTTCACCTCTTTTTCTTTCTAAAGTGTGCGTTGAAAGGAGACGAAAACAATTTTTGGTGACTACTTTTCTCCTTGTCGGGTCGTTGACGTTGACTTGTCGCCATTTTATTTCTTTTGTTTGCAATATGGAGTGTAGAGGTCCTCTACACTCCATAGTTTACAAGCTGCAGTTTGCTTTGCAAATTTAATACATAAATTATTTAGGCAAATATAGGTTTTTGATAAAACTTCTCGAACTAACGTGTAGGTAAGTATTGATAAATAATTTTTTTTCATCTTAACATGCTCATTGTCATTCTCCTGATTTAGGTGACAGAAAAGGACCACCAAATCAAATTGAATTTTATATTTTTTCATCCCAGGACCGATAGTAAAATATATATTTTATGGATACCTTCCTTAATATCAACGAGCCATCGGAAGAAAGGGACCATAGTACAAAACAGAAAGGTGACCTTTTTTCTTTCCACTTAGGATATTGAAATTATATACTGTAGTCGTGTTCGGCACTCTGAGAAATATAGATAAACAAAGAACAACAGATATAAAGTATCCCAGAGGAAAAGAGAGCCAATACCTGTACTCTCTAGGATATTGAAATTATATAGTCTAGTCGTGTTCGGCACTCTGAGAAATATAGATAAACAAAGAACAACAGATATAAACTATCCCAGAGGAAAAGAGAGGCAATACCTGTACTCTCTCTGATATTTGTGAAAGTTACGGCAAAGTATTGTTGTAAATGTCATCTTTTTGATCGACCTGAAAACTTCGAGCAAAAAGATGACACTTTCAACAATACCCTGACAGATATCAGAGACGATACAGGTTTTCCTCTCTTTTCCCCTGGAATACTTTTAATTTATTATTCTTTGTTTATCTAGATTTCTCAGAGCACTATGAACGAACTCAGCTTGTATGTTTGAAATAATCGTCCAGTTGACTTAAAAATGATGATCGATGACATTTCCCATATAATTTTACTTTCAAAATTATGATATATATCTTCATTTCTAAGCCATCTATGAAGCCATTTTTTTCAGTTCTGTTATAATTAATTTTGTCTCTTGATCTACTTGTAACATTATTCTTTTAATTTTATTAATATATTGTGGTGAAATTAATTTCTGTTGTATATTTGATATTGATATTAAACATATTTTTAAAAAATGGTGTATTTTTTCTGTTTTTATGTATGTCATAATTAAAAATAAATGAAGAATTAAATTTTTTTATTTTTTTAAACTTCCCGCCATGCGTGACACTCTAGTCCGTAGTTCCTACAAGCGAAATTGGGGGCGCTAGTAGCAGTAGACTTGTCAACAGTGTCAAATTTAAACGTCAATTTTACTTTCCAATATTTAGCAAGGCGCTCGCACTTCTTCTTGTGTATGTGTTTTGTGGACTAACCTGCGGAACAGACAATCGCCAACGTGCGGCTAAGGAAGCTTACAAGGTAGAGATGGGCGGTTATTGGTAAAAAACCGGTTATAGGTTAACCGGGATTATCTTTAAAAAATAATAACTTGACAAAATTAACCGACACAAATTAACCGGTTATTCAAATAACCTAACCTAGCAAAACTAAATATTTAGTTTTCCTATAGGTTTACTTACCTCTACACTCCATAGATCTACTTCAAATTAGATAATAAACTTAGTTATAGTTAAATAGAGAGTGTAGCAATGTAAATATGTATATGTACAAAATGAATTTAAATAAAAATGCTAACCTCACTTTTTTGAGTAGACATGTATATGATATTAAAACTAGTAATTACTTAACGTTCAAATAAACCACACAACTCACAAGTTCTACAATCTACAACCAAGTTATTTTAATCAAATACCAAAAAAAAAATAAGGAGACTGAATGAATAGATAATGAAAGATTATCTTCATTCATTACTTGAACTTCAATTTTGTATTCTTTAGTCTAAGCTTCAAGAGAGACTTCAAACTACAAATAAAATATATTTACGGTGAAACGTGGGTGAAACTAGGCGAAACCATGGAAAACTTTTGAAGAACCGTTGAAAATCCGTTAAAGTGGGTTAAAATTTAAATATAGAATTTAGAGAATCTATTTGAAGTTAGGTTTGTATCACTTGGCTAGCTGGTGGCTAGTAGTAGTCTATGCCATTAGTACTTTGTTTTACGGCCTGACCTGTCAGGGCCATTCGGCTGTTGTTTTGATTATTATCATCAGGGTTCGCCTGATGCCTGATTTAATTTTGACATTTGATGTTTGATGTCATATATTTTCGTTATGGGAGCAGGGCAGGATCTCCCGTTATCGTCGTAATAGCTGGAAGATCCGTGCCGTTCGCTTCTTCGAAATTTACGATTCAAACAGCTAATATTTAATTGTTACTTGTTTTAAACAAGTACGATTTTTTAAAAAATAACCGGCTATAGGTTATTGAACGTAATGCAAGGTTATTAGGTTAACTGGTGAAAAAATAACTACCTTTAAATAACCGGTTATTTTAGAGGAAAATACCGGTTATTCAAAAAACCAGTTACTTTTGCCCATCTCTATTACAAGGCACAGTAAGAAAATAGAATGCATCGCTCTTTCCGATAACTATTTTCACCCTTTCCGTAGCAACTAACTAAATAAATTTTGTGCTTCTTTTTCATTTTAAAATTATATTGCCATAGATATACTCGTTTTTAGTACTCTCGATTATATTTTTTTTATTATTCTCCAAAACGGTATGGAAATTTTAAAAAGTATAATCGGGATTAACCATTTTAAAGCAAGCATTTTTTTTTAAATTCATTTTTGCAAAATATTGATTATTCATATGAAAGTTCTTTTCTTTCTGATTAACTCAATCTGGGGACGTACTGTATATACATTTTACATATTTTTGGAAATTTTGCCACTTGAGATAGCAGTATTTTTGTAATAAAATACCTACTTGGCAACTATAACGTAATATGCCTAGTCATTGTTGTTTTGACTGTTTTGAGTGTTTTTATATATAAATTTTATTCTCTCTCTCTGAAAAGATATGATACGAATTTGATATGCACAAATTTCTTTTAAAAATTAATACCGTTTGACAAGTTAGGCATTTAAAATGGAAGATAACTAAACAGAAATAATTTCACTTGAGAATCTTATTAGCCGGAACTGGTATTATAAATATGTATGTATATGACAAAGACAAATTATGAAAATGATCGATATGCCCTAGCACTCTTTACAATTGGTTGCTTTTTACGGGGTGGTTCGAATAGTATTTGAAAAACTTCGGTAGCTTATTCTGGTACAGACCAAAAATGACTCCTCAAACCAGTTAAAAGATAATATGTAGATGCGCCCCACAGTGGTGTGAAACTGATAATATAACGAAAAAACCCTATATTTCCTAAACCGTTAATCGAATCGCATTGGAACGGATTTTATTCGATTCAGCTTAATAAAATACATCAAATAACATGGTTTAATAAATTTATCTAAAAGTAAACTGTGTACCAATTGAAACGTAAAGTGAAAATTTTTGCATCAAGTTGAACTTCTTATATTTCCTGAACTATTGAAGGCGTTTTGAATTGCTAGCCAGATTCTGAAACGCTTTTTTATCGACTGTCGAACCGTTCTTTGCAGTTTATTTAATTATTGGCCAATACCCATAATACAGGGTAAAACAAAAAAGCGTGCATTTTTTACAAAATTTTAAGTGACCTCCATTTTGTGGGGGGATGGAGGATTTCCATTATTTGTGGGTATTTTAAAAGAGCTGTCTTATACCTCGGGACGTTTTTGAGTTTTTTTGGGGTATCGCTCTCCATTGCGATGTTTTCCTTTTTTATGATTTTCGGTAAGGTTTTAATTCTAATAAATTTATCTCATTATGAAATTAATATATTGTATTTTTGAGTATTATGCGTATTAACTAATGATTATACTAAGTGATTATACTGTCTCGTTAATGAAAAAGTGTTAAATGCTTCTTTTGTTATGCCAAGATACATAATAAAACCTGTTCATATAATTTAAATATACCAGCTAGATAAATTTTTAACGCCCTGTATAACCGTAACACTTTTTAGTTTTATAAAATTATTTGTTTGCTTTATTTAATTATACATTAAAATGCATAATGCTTAAAAATACGATATCTTCATTTCACAATGAGATAAAATTATTAGTATTAAAACTCTACCGACAATCATAAGAATATCGAAAACATTGCAATGGAGAGCGATAGCCAAAAAAACTCATAAACGTCCCGAGGTATAAAACACCTCCTTCAAACTATCCACAAAAAATGGATCTCCTCCATCTTTCCACAAAATGAGGCTCACTTAAAATTTTGTTAAAAATGCGCGCATTTTTGTTTTACCCTGTATTATGGGTCCTGACCAATAATTGAAAAAAACTACAAAGAACGGTTCGATAGTCGATAAAATAATGTTTTAGAATCTGGCTGGCAAATTCAAAATTCCTTCAAAAGTTTAAAAAATACAAGAAGTTATCAGGCCGCTATCTCCCGTTCGGGATTTAATATCTAACCGACACTTTCCGACAAGTCGGAATTAACTATCTCTGCGCTGTGGTTGTCATTTTGTGGATCTGCCCAAGCTCACCTGATGATGGAGTGGGGCTCCGAAACCGGTAGTGAGAGCAGGTTGATCCACATTATGACAAACACAGCGTAGAATTAAATTTCTATATCAGCAGTTAAGTGGCAAGAATCCTTATATAATTTTATAATAAATAATTTTTGCTCAATATACAAATAAATTACAACTTTCTTAAGACCAACTGCCAGTAAGCGCAATTAAAAATAAAGCAGGGTACAAGTAACTCACGTTTAGGGATTGACTTTGCGAAAATTATCATCCGATTCTCAGTCTCCAGCCGTCTTTTTGAGATACTGATACTGCTTGAAAATTGTTAGATATGATCAATGAGATATTAAATAGTTCAATTCTCTAAACAACCATTTTTTTAGACTGGATTGGCGACCAGGCAATGTACTGAGAATGGCACGTGGTTTAACGAATATACAGGAAGACCTTGGACGAATCTGTCAGAGTGCGGAGTAATCTATATTATGGACGATATCGATGAAGAATTGATTTACGAGACTTGGCTGCCAGTTATAAAGAAAACAGCCCGCTTTGGGTACACCGTATCAATTTTATCGTTGATACTAGCTTTACTCATATTCATCACTATCAAGTAAGTTCGAAACCAGAACACAAACATCATTCTCTAATACCTTAATTCTTGAAACTTACTTTTATTCGTTTCCACTTGATAACGGTCAGTGATGCATCTGACCGAAACGGTGTGTAATTACAATAAATGACAGCAATGGGAAGTCTGACACTCCCAAGCAGCATTTGGACGTCGGGACAACGTTGTGTCAGGCGACCAAACGTCGGGGCGCAACGTCGGCACAACCTCGTGCCAACCCTAATCTGCACTAGTTTGGAGAATAATTTTTGGGTCGAAACGACGTTGGATACCGACGTTGGCTAGAAGCCTAATTTAGTACAAACTGCAACGTTGTTTAAAATCCTAATTCACAGAAATACAAAACTAATATGGCGTCTAAGTCGCGTTTTATCCTAAATTGGGATAATTATAGTAAAAATATTATATTTATAATTTAGTTAGAGACATATGTCAGATGGCAGTGAAGGAAAACAAAACAAAAGTATTTAAGTGTGGAGGATGTTTGAAGATCATAATTATTGAAACACTTTAACCGACTCTGTAACTCGTTACCCAAGGTAAAAAGTTAAACGCAAACAACTTTATTGATAAATGTATTGTTTCTACTTTAAAAAATACTAATGGGCCTTGAAATTAAAGAAGTTTTAAAAATTTTCTTGAATTTTTTTTTTAGTAAAATGAGAATAATTTATTCGCATTCGAAAAAATTGTTTCCGCGTATTTTTTAGGGTCAAATATTTCAAGTTAATGTATTCAAAAAGCAGGAATTGCTATTTTAAGAACGAAACATTTTCTTATTTAACAACATGGCGGCTTTAACTTTGTTGTTTTGGAGATTAAGATGGAGTAGTTCGAGTAGTCGCATACTGGACTAATAAAGTCGCAGTTCGGCCTTAACAGGTAGTATACTAGTCGCAAGATTGCCTAATTTAGTCATTCTAGAGTCTAGCTTGTGCCGCCCTCTATAATCTAAATAAACGAGGAAGTGTCGGTAATATATGTCGATGTATATTTAAATTTAGTTTTATATGTACCTTTCTTATGTCCCATTTTAATTAAGTTTTTTTTTTATAAAAACAAAAACAGCACTGAACTGTCTGACTGAACAGAACAATGAATTGAAAATTTAAGATTTAAGGTTATGGTTCAATACAGTTGCAAAAAGGTAGTGACTCTACGTCCTACCAACGTAAGAATAAGGAAATCTAAACAACGTTGGAATTAGTAAAACAGACGACGTTTGCATAACGTTGGAATAGGTCCTGAAACTGACGTCGGAAAACTCTATATTATCCAACGTTGTAACTACGTTGTCCAAATCACCTAAAGATCACTTAAGCAAAAAAGGTTACAAGACAACGTTTATTCGACGTCGCAGAAGCTTCTACTTTGCTGTAGTACTAGTCCAACGTCGGCACAACGTTATAAAAACGTTTAAATTTATTTTAATACCCAAGGTAGGGAGCTAACTATTTTTTGTAACTAATCCAACGTTGTGTTTAGTAAATATGTGGTCGCAAGTCGTGAAAATGCTACTTGGGCTCTTTTAGTTTCGATACTGTTACGTTTTTCGTCGGTTCCGTGTGGATAGAAAGTCACAATTTGTTTAAACACTATTTATTTAACACTAATTAACAAAACTAATAACGATAAACGACTTATAGAACTATTTACAAACGATTTATAACTAAGAATTTATTTTGAATTTTAGCGCGTCGACTGTATATTTATAACTGCCCTCTCTAGGCCACTGCCGCCGGCTTTTATACCGACAGGTAAAAGAAATCTAGAATAGTCCAAAGATCGTTAGGCGCATAGAGAAGGTTTTCGAATGTTCTCGTATGTACGAGTCCATTCTAGTGGGTCTCGATTCTTCTCGAACGAATGAATCATTGCGGTGTCTATGCGATGTTAAGGTCATCCGAGGGCGGGCCATATTGTGAGGTTAGGTCGAGTCCACACCGGCTCGCAACAATACTAAATCATTGTCTGTCACATTTAGTTTTCATTAAATCCTTATCCCATCAAAAACATAGAATGGAAAACAATGCTAAGTTTCGCAACACAAATCTTCCACTATAAAAAGTTCTGAGATCTGATGTAAAACCAAGTCAATTTATTTTATTTACTTAGTTTCTCTGTAAAGCTGCGTCCTCACTGAATCGGCACTGTCGATCGACCATGTCTATCGACATTGTTGATCAACAAGTCGACAAAACTGCATCGGTCCACACCAGATTGACAGAAATGTTTGTCGATCAGTCGAAATCAACATGTCTGACGAAGATGACGCAATAGTTGCTTGTGCCGCATATATTATTATCAATTTCAAACTTTCAAACCAAACCATTTACTTGCCAGATTTCTTGCTCTCCTTTATTTTTTTCACTTCTCTTGCAAATTGACACTGAAGATTTTTTATTTTTTGTTCTACCGCTTGCTTATCGATGTTAAATTGACTAGCAATTTCCATAATGGCATCGTGCTTTAAGTTTATGTTCTTATAGTTTTTGGTTTTAGAATCCCATAGATTTTTTTTCAGTTGGTATGCATCAATAAAGGCTATGACTTTATCTTGCTGCCATTCCATTTCTTCAACGAAAAAGCACGAATACGATGTCAACTAGCCAAGACATCACTGTGTATAACAGTTTGACGAACGTCGAAAACAGGTCCACACACTAATGTCGATCGATTGTTCTTTGATGTTTACCGACGGACGATGGAAAACAAATCTGTCGATCGACATCGTCAGTCAATGTCGACAAAAAGACAATTTGACAAACGATAATTCATAAACTATGACGTATAATTACTAGATATTTTGGTGATCTAGCCAGCTATAGTATGTCCTGATGTTTAAAAAAATGAATATGGTTGCTTTATCCACAACGAAGTTACACGGTGGTCAAAAGTGCCGGTAATACCTTCGAGAAAAGGATGGTACGGCTGTGCTTGACCTAGCAGACACAATTAATATACCATACGATCGAAAAAAAAATCAAGACGACTAGGGATTGAGAATCTTCTTTGCCCTTACTCGTCTTTATTTTTTAAATGGCACCTACTGATCTTGACTATCCTTTTTTAATCTAATTTTTGACAAGTTTTACTTAAATTTTTAGTCAATGGCGTCTAGACATTGACCTCGCCAAATTATTATCGATTGTCACTCCCCAGCCGTCTTCAACCCTTTTTTTTTAACCATTTGCTAAGACAAAGTTTCATAATAGTAATTTTACCGAATAAATTTTTATATTTCAGAAGATTGCACTGCGAGAGAAACAAGTTACACATGCACTTATTTATTTCTTATATTTTGAGAGGGGCTTCATTTATACTGAAAGATGTACTTTTTATTGAGGGTACAGCGCTATCGAACGATGTAGAGTATGTCAATGGACATACTAACGTCAACTATGTAAGTATGGAAGATTTAAAACCAAACTACTAAGGGGCGGATCCAGGATTTGGGAAACGGGGGCTAGACCCAAAATTTTACTCAAAGTACAGGGTGGGTCAAATTCGACGCTTTTAAATGGAAACATCCTTTTCTACAGGAGATAGACAAAAACTAATATCGGTGCCTGAAGCTCAATTTTCATCAAAAACATGATGGTGAAAACCGCACATCAATATCTGTTACCGTCTCGGAGTTACGGGGTGTTTTTCAAAAATGTGCATTTTTAACAAACCGCTGTAAATTTTTTGCTATGGAAAATTTTGTATTTCTATGAAAACATTTCCAAAGCACCTTTTTACGTAGAATTTAATGGTTTAAGCATATTTTTTTTTAAAATTGATAATTTAAGAGTTATCAACAGAAAAATTTATTTTCTTATTTGGGACACCCTCTATATTTTTATTTAACTGAAAAGAATTTAAAATTACCTTTCCAAAATTATAGCACACTTGATATTTTGTTATAATCCCCTTCGAAATACAGAATTTTTAAAAGTTTGCCACTTTTAACTAGTAGGCTTTGGACTCCTTATTGATAATATGCCCTTAATGGAACTCGAAAACATATTTTTCCAGCAAGACGGCGCACCGCCTGTGAACGCTAAAGTTATCAGCAAATTTTTGCAGCCAATTTCAAGAATAATTGAATAGCTAACAAAGATCCCAGCCGTTCGCCGTCGAGGCCGCTTGACTTAGTGCCCATGGATCTAATCCTTTGGATATATTTGCGGAAGAATAAAGGTTCCTTATTCTTCCGTATAATCTAGACAAGAATTAGAAATACTTAGCAGTTATGAGAGGGTATCTTTCACCCCTACTGAGTTAATGAATTCCGCGAGAAATGTTCAAAAACTGCCCCGTCTGTCCATAACAGAGGACGCTCTATATTTCGAACACCTGTAGCAAAATCTCACGTCTTGATTTGCTATTTATTTTTATTGTTATTAGATATAGTTTAAATGTGTTGACGTTGGTTAAATATATTTTTAATGGTTATAAAATTCTGCATCTTTCATAGCAAATATTATTTTCGTTTTAATTGATGCTCACAGCTAGAATTTTTTTGCATTACAGCCGGTGCCGTTCAAAGCCTACTTATTTAAAGCGGGCGAATTGTTATATACTCTATACCTCGAAGAGGAATCGAGCAAAATATCAAGTGTGTTATATTTTTGGATAATTATTTTTAATAAATTAAAAATATAAAGATGTCCAGATTAATTAAAAAAATATATACTTAAGCCATTAAATTCTACGTAAAAAGGTGCTTTGGAAATGTTTTCATAAAAATACAAAATTTTCCATAGCAAAAAAGTTACAGCGATTTGTTAAAAATGCATATTTTTGAAAACACCCCGTAACTCCGAAACGGTAACAGATATCGATATGCGGTTTTCACCATCATGTTTTTGACAAAAATTGAGCTCCAGACACCGATATTAGTTTTTGTCTATCTCCTATAGAAAAGGATGTTTCCATTTAAAACCGTCGAATTTGACCCACCCTGTACAGGGTGTCCTATTTAAGTTGAAATCATACCTGTTCCACTTTTTTGTCACTTTTTTGTCAAACGGAAGATGCTGTCAACAAAATTTTCATAGCCCTCTTATATGAACTAAAATTATGTTTTTCAAATAGAGCACCCTGTATATTTATAAACCATATGATCCGCCTTGCTATGAGCTTCTCAAAAATATATATCACTCTATTTTTATTTTCACTATTTACTGCAATATTTAAAATTTATCATTTTTTTATTAGTAGGCCGTGATAAATAACAAAATCAAAATGGAATTTACTAAAATAGACATACACATATTAAAATTTTATTTGGAATTGATATATTTTACTTTTGAACTGTTACCACAGAACCTCTGAAAATACTTTTATCTTTTTTAAAAAAAAATGTTGTTTACGGGATCTTCCGTTTGATTAAAAAGTGGCACAGGTTTGTGCCTTTGAATAAGAAGACTAAGGAAGGAGCATAATGCTATCCATGTATTCATGCATGGTGGGCGGAAAAAGCACTCTAGGGTGGGGATCCTTGACAGTTCTGTTTGACAATTCATTTGACACATTTCAATTTGATTTGAAATTTTGTGGATTTCTCAGTCTTTACGTAGCTTATTTTATGTTATTTATTATTTATTCTTCTACTGATAGTTGTATAAAGGTAGTAAATCTAGATGGAAATTGTGGCAGAACTAAAATTAACAGTGACACTATCGCGATTTATCGAAAAAGACTCTAAAATAGTTGGTTGTGTAGCGTGCGGTAGATCTCGGCAAAAATTGAGTGAAATAATGGAACAACTTTTCGCTAGTAAGTGACTATATAATATACATACGTGTAGTAAACCGATCATTTATGAAATTCACTTAAATTAACTAAATTATATATTTTCTTGCATTTTAGCTTTTATTTATTACTTGTCAAAGATTAGATGTCAAAGAATTTAGATACGTTAATTTGACTTACCTGCTTCAGTAGCGTATCGAATGTTTGTGTTAATAAATACTTATTATAACTTATCTGTTTTTATTAGAATTATATATTTTTATAACAATTTTAATAACTACCAACATTTATTCACAACGTAAAATAAAACAACACATTATTGAGTCTACCCCACGTCATAGTTTTACATTTTTTAAATAAAATTAGAACGACACTGATAAACCGGAATTTAAGTCGGCCATATTTGAGGCCCATCGCGGTGTACCTAAGATTTTTGATATGCTCCTTCCTTAGTCTTCTTATTCAAAGGTTTGTGCAAACCGCATCCTTCTATCTTTGCGAATAACGGAGATACCGTATGATTTCAACTAAAATGGGACAGCCTGTACAGTGAAAAACTTTATTTTGCAACAGAAGTAAGGCCGTAAAAAGACTAAAATATATTTTTTGTAGACCTGGCTTTGTAAGTTGTTTATCAGCATCCGTTATTATTTTGTCATATGTAACTTTGCGTTTATGCTGATGGAAGGCGTATATTTACACAATCTTATATTTCTGAATTTATTTTCTGAATCTCATGGAACGGCCATTTATTGCTTCCTCGGTTGGGGTATTTATTTTTATCCTTATGTACTTTTTGAAAATTTGTTTTAACTAAATTCTATTTCAGCTATACCACTAGTTTTTGTCTTTATTTGGGCTTTAATGAGGATGCTTTTTGAAGATACCACTTGCTGGACATTAAACGATCAAAATTACATCGGGCTCTTACTAGAAATCCCTATTGGAATAACCGTTGTTGTAAGACATATAAAACTGTATAAAATATACTGTATAATAATAAATCTATACCGGGTGCGTCCATGCGCGCCGGAAGAATGAAATTTAGGGGGGAAAAGGTAAAAATGAATAAAAAACTGACATTTTTGGTAATTATTGGGAAAACTGGAAATCATCCGATTTTCCCAAAATTGGTATACACCCTATTTTGAAGTCGTAGATTACGAATCTGAACTTTTTTCTTGGCGGTCTCTTACCGTTTTTCAGAAAAACGGGAAATAATTTCAATATCGAATTTTTCTTAATTTCTCATATTTTTAAGGTTTTCTAGCACATATTTTGTTAGGTATTCAATAATCAGTAATGTTTTTGCTATTTTCTGTTACTTTTTTAACCAATTCTATGCATAATAGAGGAAATTTTGCTAAAATAAATTTGTAAACAATCTGAAAACGTTAGGTTATAGCTTTGTTCGGGTTCTTGTTATTACCGATTCTGAACCGTAAAAGAACTCTGCAGCGCATGCGCAAATGAAATAATGTCTTCATATTTCCTTCTGCGCATACGCATCACAGTTCTAGGACGGTTCAGAATCGGTAATAAACCCGAAGTAAGTTTACGTGTTTCTGGCATTTAAAGCAACGTTGCCAATGCTAAACCTAAATTTAGCGTGTTTTTTTCGCTCATTCTGGAATTACGAAAGGCGGTCGCCAGAAAAACGGCTCCTTCCCATAACTGCTATTTTACCAACGAGATCTGACTATTTATACCCACGAAGTTGCACGAAAGAGTTTTGATTGCATTGGTTACAACTTCCATGCAGAGAGTGTTAATCTTTTGTTGTTATATTATTAGATTAACTAAAAAAAGATTAACCTCCTCCGCAAAGAAGTTAAAACCAATGCAATCAAAACTCTTCCGCGTAATTTTGTGGATATAGGTGTATATTTAATTATTGTCGATCTCATAATAGGCAATTTATTTAAAATCCCTAATCACCCGAAAAAATAGAAGATATGGCAACGTTGTAAATTTTCAAATTTCTAAATTAGGTCTAGAATATATTTGTCTCTCTTATTACATAGGAGAGAGAAAGAAGAATATATCAAATGTGAAACTTCCATCTGGTCTCAATTTTCTTTGCTATTTTGTTAAGAAAAGTGTTTTTCAGTCAAATGTGGACACTTTTCTATCCCCAATCAAGTGTGGCTTTTAGATAAACTATAATATAATGAACATATAGTGAAATTATTACTTTATAGGGCCGAAATAAAGAATAATTCAATGTTGAAATAATTTTCCGTTTTTCTGAAAAACGGTAAGAGACCGCCAAGAAAAAAATAGATTCGTAATCTACGACCTCAAAATAGTGTGTATACCAATTTTGGTGGAAATCGGACGATTTCCAGTTTTCCCATTAATTACCACATTTTTTATTATTTGACAGGTAACACCTAACAATTTCATAATAATGATTATTTTTTTTACAGATGGATGTAAGAAGATAGCTTTTATTTTTATTGTTTCAGTGATCCAGGGGGGGGGTCAAATGCCCCCTCTTGCCCCCCCTGTCCGGCGCCCATGGGTGCGTCTCAAAAGTGGCTCAACCCTATAACTTTTTTATTTTTTCAGATAAAACACAGAGATGAAATAACGATACTTGGTACGTTAGTATATTATGACATAAATTAGGATTGATTGACGTGTTCAATTGTTTTTGGTCGCTTCCTGTTTCACCGGAAATGACTACAACTTTTGATTTTTAAATGGCACCCTCGGTATTTTTTTACTTTATTCGATAGAAAAATGACATTCTGAATAGAGTGACATATATATGTCAAATCTTGACATTCTCGCTTAATAAAAAATTGTATTTTAAATTTCAATCTAGAGTGCCATGGCTATGTTAAAAACACCAATACTTAATCAAGGAGCCTTGGAAAAATAGATTGGATCGTCTAATGTTTTTAGTGTCTTGTCCTGGCCTGTTAGAAAATGCTCAAATCGTATTTTTAATCATATCTCAATTTTGTCAAATGGAATGAGGGTGGCTCATTAGCATATTTGGGAAAAGCATTTTTTTACGAATAATTTGATACCATACACTTGGTATTTCGATTTAAATTTTTGTTACGAACGGCAAGTTGTAATTTCAAATAAACCATATACGAAAATGTCAAAAATTGACATATGCTGTGTCATTCTATCCAGAGTGATATTTTCTATCCAATAAAGTCAAAAAATACCGGTAAATCAGGAAGTGACCGAAAACAGTTGAATACTTCAATCAATTCTAATTTATGTCATATACTAACATACAAAATCTCGTTTTTTTAACTGAAAAAATAAAGAAGTTATAGGGGTGAGCCAATTTTGAGACGCACCCGGTATAGATAATAATAATAAAGGATGTCAAAAAATAGTGTATCTAACTTCGGTGGTTGATTCTACAGATAAAAATAAGACAAAAAGCTCCTATGAACATATATGCTCTAAAATGCTTCCCGAGGAAGTTACAGTCCTCGAAAAGATAAATAAGAATAATATATTTTGTTTATTTTTAAGAAATTTGGCAAACTTTTTGCAAAAAAACTGTTTTTTCAGGAAAAACGTTGACCAATATTCTTAAAAACAAACAAAATATATAATTTTTATTCAACCTTTCGAGAGCTGTTACTTCTTCGGGAAGCATTTTGGGGCAAATGTTGACCTATAGGAACTTTTTATCTTATTTTTATCTATAGAATCACCCACCAAAGTTAGATACACTTTTTTTGACACCCTGTATAATTGATCATATTTTTAACAGGTAAATTTTCTACTGTTTCTACTTATTGTAAAGGTTTTGGTACTCAAGATTCATTTTACTTCCACATTTATTCAACAGAAGAAAGTCAAATTCAGGTTAGTTCATATACTTACATTCTGTAAATATATTTATCGATTTATTCTTTTCACAGGAAATTATTGAAGTCCACTTTAATTTTGATACCATTATATGGAATCCCTTATACTATGACGCTGATTCTAAGTTTTTACGTAGAATCGAGCAAGATTCTTGAAATAATATGGCTTTTTTTGGATCAGTCCTTTACATCATTTCAGGTGAGCAAAATATACAGGGTTGTTCACCACATACGACACGGAGTATTGTAGCTAAACGATTAGATTTTTACAAATTTTAAGTTTTGGGTTCGTTGAAGGACTATTAGAGCTACAATTTAGAAATAATTTTACAAGATACAGAGTGTCCCAAATAAGTAAAAAATGCTATAGTTGTATTTTTTTAAATGGAACACCCTGTATATTATTCTATTTTTAGATTCTACGATTGAAATAAAGGTAAATTTTATTAAGGTTTATCACACTTAAACCTTACCGTTTTTGAAATATTTTCAATTTTGTGAAATTGCAGTAACAATTTTCAGGCTTTATTTCTCCAAGGGTATCAAAGTTTTTAATACTAAATATTTACTGAAGTTTATTTATTGATCAGTTATTGTGTTGCAATAATAAAAATTATACTACCTTGTACAGAGTGTCTAATTTTTTTTTAAATAATTACTAGCTTTAAACAGCAATAACCTGTTTAATTTAAAGGGAACGCCCTGTATATTTTAGGAGAATCAGATGCATAATTTAATTGTCTATCAAATTGTATTATACCGCTTTTTACCTATCCCTTCAAGTTTTCGTAGAAAATGCATTTATTTTATAATTTAGACCTCATTTATCAATATACCCATGGAATATTGACATTTTAGATTGTTTTTAAAGCAACAAATGTACAAAATGTACAGGCTAGTAATATTATCGTTTTTAACAAAAAGATAATATTACTAGCCCATTTGTATGCAAAAAGAAAACTATTTAAATCTTCATAAAAGAGTACATCATTAATTAAACATACCACCATTATTTCCGCCCAAAGACTAATTAATTACATACTTAATTATGTTCGTGAACAAATTAATCTAAATAAATGTGGATTTGAATCAGAAATCAATATAATAATAAGTTATAAAAATGAATGTCTCTGTTGTTACAAATAACCATTTGTCAAAAAATTAAATATCATTTTTAAGGTGTTACTTTTTACCACACTGTCTAATACACAAAGAAAATTAAGTTTTTTTAGTTTTTGGAGCAATTATTATTAATCAACGTAAACAGTCAATTAATGTAGTTTGAATACTGGAATCATATTAATTGGTCCTCTTTAACAAATATTTCAAATTTTTTTTTTGGTTTTTAATGAAATAAACAAACTATATCGACAATATTAGTATCTGTACTCTTTAAAAATTTGGTACGTCTTTAAAAATAATCTAAAATGTCAGTATTCCATGGGTATATTGATAAATGAATTTAAAATTACATGAAAATGCATTTTCTACGAAAACTTGAAGCTATAGGTAAAAAATGGTATAATACAATTTGATAGACAATTAAAATGTGCATCTGATTCTCATAAAATATACAAGGTGTTCCATTTAAATTTTACAACTTATTGCCGTTTAAAGCTAGTAATTATGTAAAATAAAATTTTAGACACTCTGTATAAGGTAGTATAATTTTTATTATTGCAACACGATAACTGATAAATAAATAAACTTCAGTAAATATTTAGTATTAAAAACTTTGATACCCTTGGAGAAATGAAGCCTTAAAATTTTGACTTGATTTCACAAAATTGAAAATATTTCAAAAACGGTAAGGTTTAAGTGTAATAAACCTTTATCAAATTTACCTTTATTTTAATCGTAGAAACTAAAAATGTAATAATATACAGGGCGTTCCATTTAAAAAAATACAACTTTTATATTTTTTATTTATTTGGGACACTCTGTATCTTGTAAAAATATTTTTAAATTGTAGCTCTAATAGTCCTTCAACGAACCCCAAACTTACAATTTATCAGGTGTTTCTGACGCTAACAACTCTCTCTGTCTGTCGCGTTCTTATGGTAGCCTAGACTCATGACGCTCAGGTGTTTCTGACGCTAACAACTCTCTTTGTCTCTCTCGTTGTGATGCCAGCCTAGACTCATGACGCTCAGGTGTTTCTGCCGCTAACAACTCTCTCTGTCTGTCACGTTGTGATGCTAGCCTGGACTCGTGACGTTCAGGTGTTTCTGACTCTACCAGCTGCCTTTGTCTCTCATCGGAACTAAAGGTGTGTACCAAATTTCAGATCAATCTGACAACAGGAAGGTACTTAAATTTCAATTTCTAATTTTGACCCAAATAAACAAACAAATAAATAAATACCGTACGGGTCGAGCTAAATAAAACCGTTTAAAAATACTTACTGATTTCGATTTAATATTATATAATTTTTATGGAGCCGCGCTCACATTCAATCAAATAGTCGGCCGATCGGCTCCATAAGTATGTATTGTTTTCACTTTTACAAATAATCTTATTTAAACAAAGATGTAGAATGTAGAATGAGTAAGAAGGGGGGGGGGTAATCACTTCGACCTTAAAGATCAATTGTGCCCCCTTCCTTGAGTCATCACACTATCAATAACCCCTCATAATACCCCTGTTGTAGAGGGGACAGGGTATTTTCCATCCTCTTTTGACAACAGTTCTTCCTCCGAGGGTACACACCCTTGTTTTTTGGTTTGGCCCTCCCTGCTGCCCTTCACAGTCGAGGAGCTTGCCTTCGACTGAGGAACCCGTGAAGTAGAGGCTGGAGGATCTGTCTCCATTTTCTCCACATCTTTAACTTGGTCTTTCCTTAGACCTGATGCCGGTGATGTCCCGTATCTATAATAGAGGATATGTCCCTCTTTCTCTATTACCTCCTTGGATTTGAGGTCAATTCCTATTGTGAGGACCTGACCATGACCTTCCTCCCTCGAGTTGATGACTCGCCAACTCCATGTCCTTACATTGAAGTTCTGATCTTGGATGAGGCTCAGCAGGTAGGTGGTGTCTTTCGCGCATGCAGAAGTAAGGGGTAAATACAATGGGGTGCCCCCTGATGCCCCAAGGTTGAGGCCAGTAATGGCTAGTCCTCCATCTAGCCACGCACTTCTTTGACCTGGTCCCGCCATCGTAGGATTTAGGTTTTCTCCTCTTGGTCCAGGCGGTTAAGCCAAGACCCCCCACACCCTTTACCCGCGAGACATGACCACAGTCAGTAGAGGGTGCCTGGTATGACGGACAGGGGTAGCCCCGTCCGGCATCGTTATATGTCTTGGTGCATTTCCCTGGCCACGACACTACAACAAGACGATGAGTGAGATGCTGGTTAGACCAAGCCAAGCGCTAGGGGGGATTCCCCGCAGAGCCTGATCAGGAGCTTCCCCACCAACGACAAGATCTTGCATCTCCTAGAGGAAGTTTAAACAGAGATTACAGTTGAGGGTTGGAACCTTTGGTGTTACACAGCAAAATAAAACACTAAATCACCACAATACACCAAAACACTTTTACACTGGACGCGCGTTTCGCTAACCATGTTAGACCAAGACAATCTACAATTGGAGCGTTTGTATACTCGCTCAGTGGGCACAGAGTGGGCGTGGCAAGATCTAGCCAACCGAGTCTGAATCCATCGAGCGTAACAGTTAGATTTCCGCCACTAGAGTAGTAGGAACAAAGAACTTGAAGGAATTGGACCGTTGTCTCTGTTCATACTATCTTTACATTTATTAATTCTGATGCTTTCATATGCATCTAATTGCCTGTAATTTGAGACTTGTTTAAGTAATTTTAAGTTATTAAGATCTATACAATATTCTTTATCAACAATATGTTCGGCAACGCAAGATTTATCAGGTCTACCATATCTTATCTGAGCTAAATGTTCTTTAAATCTAGTTAATATTGATCTTCTAGTTTGCCCAACATATTTCTGATTACAATCTTTACAAGAAATTTCATAAATACCCGATAGATTGTGTTTTAGTATATAATCATCTGCTGATGATGCTAACATGGTTAGCGAAACGCGCGTCCAGTGTAAAAGTAAAAGTGTTTTGGTGTATTTTAGTGATTGAGTGTTTTATTTTGCTTAAACAGAGATGCAAAAATATTAAATAAAAGAAGCAGTAAGTATTTTTAAAATATTTAAATAGTTTACTAGAAAACGCATATGTCTCCCACGCTCATAGTCACGGCTGAATAATTTTTGTGTTTAGAGGATGTTTAGCCATTACAATCTGTCTGACTGATTAAATATAACTTTATAATAGCTGTCTTAATAACATATGTAAAAATCAGACATGTAAAAATAAGTAAAGATTATTTATTTCTTTTAGTAACCTTTCTCACCTGCTATCGGCCAAGGTGTCACAGGGCGAACCCCACAAACACACCGGTATTCAAAGCACATGAGAGTACTACTGAGAGCCTAAGGTTTCATCCTTGTGAAAATAAGTTATGTCTGATCGCTCTCTATCTTGGATCTTGGACTATAAGTTTTATTTTTTTTTATTTATGATGATGGTGAATGTATTTCAGGGATTTTTTGCTGCTCTCGTTTACTGCCTTTTAAATAGCGAAGTTCATGTAGAAATTAAACGAAAATATAGCCTGTTTTATAGCAGACAAGTAAACAAGGAATGCTGCCGAAGTAGAACGATATCTAGCAATACTCAACAATTCTCTCTTCAGAATAATGATGATGCACTGGAAAATTTAAACCTGTTCGGCATAACAGATGATGATTTAATTAAAAAACGACGAAAATCTATAGAGATTTAATCTGCTTTATATAAATTTATGTACCTACTTGTGTTTCTGTGCTATTAATGTTAAGTGTAATTTTTTGTATGCTGCAATGTTTCTTGCCTGATGGCTTTGACTAATCACGGGCACGAAAAACGGGTACCTTAAAATCTTGATGTATTTTAAAGTTTAATATATTTTGTTCTAATGAGCCGATTTTGATAATTGCCATGGCCGTGTATCATCCTGTAATCCTGTATGAAACTTTAAAATACATGAACATTTTAAGGTACCCGTTTTCCGTGCCAGTTAGTGTATATTTTTATATTTAATATTGTCTTTCATACGATAATTTTTATAACAAATTATTTATTTTTTCAAATTATCTCCCACTCTATTTGCTTCTACATGTTAGAATAGGTATAATTGTTAAGTAACTAAATATGATTATTTACCAGCACATTAAATATACATATAATTTTTGTAAAAGAATCTCGTAATATATGGTTGCTGTACCATAATGCGGCTATGTACTACCCTTATTACTATGTGCCTTATATGTTTTCAAAATAAAATTGTAGATTCCATGTTAAAGTTAATAAAAGTGTTGTATTAAAATAAATAAAATGGTGGTATTAATTAAAACAAATTAAAAGAAAGTCCATTCATGAATGAGTTCAGAGAAATCATTATCCTATTAGAAAATTTAAGTGGGAATTTTTCAAATGTAGACTTTAGGAGTATAACTGGTTGCCTTGATAGAAAATACAACCACAGAAAACATATAACCGGATATATTCCGAGATATAGAGGTAAACTCTCGTAAACCTCTATATCTCTTATAACATTTTAATTTGTAAACTGCCGCCATCTGCTAGGCAATTTCTACAGTAACACAATGCGATAAATTCGAGTTTTCTTTATTAAGTCGAATTGTAAGTTTGCCAGTAGATTCCTGTAATTGAACATCTGCTTTTTTTGTTATTTTTTTTCTGTTGAAGGACACAAATGATTGTGATTTATTCAGATTGGATTTGTTTTTATTAATTTCTTTGGTTTTTGTTCGCTTGGAAATGGGCGACGAAGGTGAAACTATGACAAACAATGTATCCGAAAATAGTGAACCAACCGCGAACCAAGATGAACTGATTTTGGCTCAGCAGAGACAAATCGAAAAAGAGGTGAGATACCAAATGGAGGTTAACGAGCATTGACCGGCGCTTAATAAAAACATTCTTTATCTTGTATTTGATTAAATTTGTGTTTGAAACTATGCAAAATGTATTAAATGGTTTGTATAGTATTGGAAATACGTACCATATATAGTGTACACTTGTAAGGTATTGTTTTATTAGTTTAAATAGTTAGTTTGAATAAGGAATTCTGTGTGCATTATCTAATTTAATTATTTTTTTAGATATCTGATAATATCCCTTTAGTGGGGGAATTAGACTCAGTCATCTCTTTGAACAAAGAATACTCGACCGATGATATTTACCTTGAAAAAATCAAAGACTTAGCTTCAAAATATAGTTACGTTAGAAGAACACGTCCTGATGGAAATTGTTTTTTTAGAGCTTTCAGTTATGCAATTTTAGAAAAATTGTTGTGCGATAAGGATAGTTTTATCAAATTCTATAAAATAGCAGAAAATAGTAAGAATGTATTAGTGGAGTTGGGATTTCAACAGTTTACTGTAGAAGATTTTTATGATACGGTAAGTAGGTGAAGAATAACATTTACAAACTAGTCGATAATTGCCATTTTTTTAAGTATATGGAAGTTCTTAAACGTCTAAAAGATATAGAAAACATAGGTGAGGCTAAAAAAGAACTTCATAATGTCTTTAATGATCAAGGGTATTCTGATTATATGGTTGTTTACTTAAGACTGTTAACTAGTGCTCAATTACAGAAGGAACACGACTTCTACAGTTGCTTTATCGAAGGAGATAGAACAGTAAGAGTTGCTTTCAAAATAAAAATTAAAAATACATTCTATAAATATTTTTCAGGTAGCCGATTTTTGTCATCAAGAAGTGGAACCGATGTATAAAGAGAGCGATCACATTCATATTATGGCTGCTTGTTCGGCTCTGAACACTGGCGTGCGAGTACTCTACATGGACAGAGGAACAGGCAATAATGTTACTAAGCACGATCTACCCGAAGGCTGTTCACCTACAGTGCATTTGTTATACCGTCCTGGTCATTACGATATTCTTTATCCATAATTCTTGCTATTTTTTTATATGATCAGTTTGTTAATTTTAATTTTTTGTGAGAGTGTTGGACTCATTGTGGTAATTTTTTTCAATAAAACTTATTGAACTAAACATATTTCATTGCTTATTATATACAAAATTTTTGTTAAAAAAAGTAATTAATGCCGTATGGTCGAAAAAAAAAACGACGTCTAGTTGGCTGGCTAATATAAATTTACATATAAAATGACTGCAATCATATAGCCATCGCTGGCGCCGTTTTTTTTATCATACAGTAGTACCTACTTTGAATAAAAATAAATAAGCATCGATTGTCATTCCCCAGCCGTCTTTGACGCCTTTTTTTTCGATTGTATCGTTTAGTTAAATAATCTTAAATTCAAACTAAATTTAATAATAACTTTTATTTAATAAGCAGCTTCTATTTTTTCTGTTTAATCCTTTGAATAAGAAGAGTTTAATCTATGGAGTGTAGACATTGGCGTAACTACAGGGGTGCCTGGCCCCCCCTAGGTAGTGCTGGGCAGGGTTCGGAAGTAGTTAATTAAGACGTAGTTTACCTGATTAACTACGTGTAGTTTTTCTTCAAAAACTACGTCTTTGCCCGTTCATTAACTACATGAAAACTACGTTAATAAACTACCTATTGATATTATGAATAATTTTGCTTTGTATGAGGAGTCTAAATAATATGATGTGAATAGTTATATTTAAAGCCATATTTCTTCTGTTTTCTTGAATACATTATGTGTTTTTAAAGCTCAACTTATTATAACCTCACCTCAAACCTTTGATATTTGAAAGTTACATACATAGGTTACATAAACTACACCCTCTACATAAACTACATTAACTACATGTAATGTAGTTTATGTAGTTTTTAAAAGTAACATGTAGTTTTCCGAACCCTGCTCTTGGCTAAATATTAATTTTTATTTGCTTGTCATGTAGTAAAAATTAATTATTTATTTTATTTTTATTTAGTGTTCAAGAAATGTGTGTTATTAGTTTTTATTTTTTTACAAAATCACGGATCACGGATTGATATAACCTTGATATAACCAAGTCTATCAAATCTATTGATAGAGAAATTCATGTAAATGTTTTATTCAAAAAATGTATTTATTTTTAATGATATATTATTCTTCATTTTTTAAAATACAAAATCCCTAGGCCCTCCCGGGGTTCAACCCTAGCCCCCCCCCCCAGGATGAATTGCTATAGTAACGCTAATGAGTGTAGACCCTCCATAGTACAGGGTGGGTCTTAAATAAGGGCAAATATTTTAGAGGTAATTTATTTTTTTTACTAGAAACACGATTATGAGTTTTTTTACAAGAAACAAACCCAGAAAAGATTTAATGATTCTAAAAATATAAGCAAAAAATCATTTTATTTTGGAAATTTTCAAAGTAAAAAACTCTTATTTTAGACTTGTTTGAAAAACGGCAAAGAGAATATGTTTTTTTATCGAGATCTACGTACCCGTCCTGAAAATATTTGCACTTAATTAAGACTTATCCTGTACATTAGCGTAACTAGCAATTCATTCGGGGGGGAGGGCCTGAGGTTGAGCCCAAAGGGGGCCTAGGCCTTTTGTTCTTCAAAAAATGAAGAACAATAAATATTAAAAAACACATTTTTTGAATAAAACGTTTACATGAATTACTTAAATACCTACAAATAAAAAAAAACAAAAATTAACACATTTTTTGAACACAAATCACAAGCAAATAAAAATTAATGCGTAGCCAAGAGTCATAATTCAAGATTTCTCTGGGTGGCGCCCGGCAGTATCTGGGGGAGGGGCCCGGCCAAAGCCCGGCACTTTCGGGCACCACTGTAGTTACTCCAATGATCCTGTATAATCAGTATCAAACTGAGATTTTTTCTCGAATTTTTAACTACACTATTTAAAATAATTTTTATTCAATATAAAAATATTAAATTACAACCTTTTTAAGATCAACCGGCAGTAAGCGCTATAAAAAAATAGAGACGAGTACGGGCCTAGTAATGATGACGTTTAGAGCTTGACTCCCCACAATTATCATCGATTGTCGAATGGGGGATCCTACCCGACTTTGACGTCGTTTTTTTTCGATCGTATGGTATTAAAATAAAGAAAATAGTGGGAACCATTTTAGAAAAAAAAAACGATACTATTGCATTTTTGGGACATCCTATTCCGGGTGCGTCTCAAAAGTTCACCCCCTATAACTTTTTTATTTTTTCAGTTAAAAAAACGAGATTTGGTGTGTTAGTATATGACATAAATTAGGATTGATTAACGTATTTAATTGTTTTTGGTCACTTCCTATTCCACCGGAAATGTCCCCAACTTTTGATTTTTAAATGGCACCCCCGGTATTTTTTTACGTTATTCGATAGAAAATGACATTCTGAATAGAATGACATATGATATGTCAACTTTTGACATTCTCGCTTAATAAAAATAAAGTATTGTGTTTTTAACTATATCGAGTGCAGAAGAGGTATATGTAACACCACTAATTCATTTATTCAGGTCTTAAGAATTTTGTAGGCCCTTTGTCCTTGGCCCGTGTTTAGAAAATGCTCAAAGTCGATTAAAAATGCGTGTTCTCAAGTTTTTTCAAATGAAACGAAAACAAGGGTGGATCATTAACATATTTGGAAAAAAAGCATTTTTTTTTTCGAATTAATATTTGCATAGCCACACACATTAGTATGTTTCGAAGTCAAATTTTTCGAGTAAAAACCTCACCGCCTGCTATTGAACAAAATCAACGAAGTTTGTTAGTCATTTCCGGTTTTGAACAGGAAGAATACGAGTCCAGTCCCCAATATTCAAGGTTGACCAAAAAAACCAATTGAATACGTCAATCAATCCTAATCTTCAAAGTGGGCCGAACAGTATTCCGGAAACTTCTTTTTTTTTTAATTGAAAAAATAAAAAAGTTATAGGGGTGAGCCACTTTTAAGACGCACCCGGTATGAACAAATAATATTGTAAGGAAACGTTACATCGAACAATATACGAAAAACAAAATTGTCTTTCAACAAGTATACCGGGTGTTTTTCAGTACTGGCTTACTTTTATAACTCTTTTACTTCTTCTAATAAAAATGTGAAAATCAAAAGCCATTTCCAGTGAACAGGAAGTGAACGAAGCCAACTAAAAACATCAATTAAGCCTGATTTATGTCCTATACCAACATACCAAGTCTCGTTTTTTTTATATGAAAAATTACAAAAGATATAGAGGTGAGCCACTTTTGAAAAACATCCGGTATAATAACCTAATACTTTTTGTATTGATACTAGCGATGGGAACTATCGAATGAATTAGACTATCGAATGGTTAATGAATGAATGATTTCAACTATCGAATGGTTTTATTCGAATAAAATCATTCATTCATTTGTACTAAAGCATATGTGACACCTCGCCGTGCGACTAAATGGTTATCGTTGAGTCACGACTATCGAATGCCTTTGATAAATGAAATTTAGTATTCGTTTGATTTTGTATGCGTCAGTGCATTATAGTTCTTCCAACATTTTTAAACTTCGCCGTATAAATACTGTGCTATATTTGCGTTATTAAAATATTAAATAAATGAAAAAACATTTTTTTTTTTTTTTTTTTTTTTTTTTTTTTTTTTTTTTTTAATTTTTATATTGGTATATGGTCTATTTTTTAATGGAAATTTTGAGAAGTAGCATTTTTAAGAGAGATGAAGTGAACTTACAATTAATTTTAAAATACCATTATTTGTATTTTAGGATGTTTTTAATAAATATGAATTAGTGTGAACTTAATAATCATATTGAGTAATGTGGTTAAGTAAATGTGCGGTTATCGAACTCAAACTATGGGGTGAGGAAAATTAAAAATGAAAAAGTTTTACACGTGCCAATTTAAAAAAAAAGTTAACGATGTTTGTATTTGTTTATGCTAATTCTCTTAATGTAGTTTTTTGCGAAGATATTTCATTGTTTTTTTAAAAGTAAATGCAGTAAAAGTTTAAGTATAATTTTTAAAAATAGTAATATAAAGCACCTAATATAAATAACTTTTGATTTTAATTTTTTATTTATATTTTCCTTCCATTACAACTTCATGCTTAGAAAATTATAAATGTTTATATTCATGATTTTGAAAATTGTTGTAAAAGTAGTAACAAATTAGCTCTTGGTAATTATTATATATTATAACCAACGTTGCCACACACAAAAAATTTAAGACTATATTATTTTAAAAATGAAAAAAAAAAAAAAAAAAAAAAAAAAAAATTTGTTTTATATTTTTGCTACTACTGGAAAAAAAATATTTTATATTAGAATTGATTTTAAATTGTTGTTATAAGTCATAACAAAGATATTACTGTTATTATATTATTTCCACCCTGGCGACTTTGCTATGAAAAAACATTATAAAATAGTTTTCCTGACATCCAAAATAACAAGTATTACTGCAGTGTAACAACAGAATATAATAAAAAAATGCAGATATATAGACATACTATCCTAACCTAACTTAAGCCAAAAATAATATTCTTTGCTAATATCAACTAATAGCAAAATATGGCAACAGCGCCCTTCATAATATATTTTTCTGTGTAAATACTAGCACCTCAATAAAAAAATAATTGTCCTTATCTATATCTGACTCCGCAAAAAATCAAAAGATGAGCCGGCTTCTTTCATAGCATTGCTACCGACCGCTGTCGGGTTACGTCGCCGGGCGACAACTAAGAATTCATTAATATTTATTAATAATCCGATCCTGACGAATAAATGAATTCCATAAGGATATTGAATTTTATAATGAATGGTTTGCTTGCCGAATTACTAGAAGTACAATATTTTCAAGGCAGATGGACGGACTAGTTCGATAATTTTTATTCGAATAGTTTTCAACGAATGTTTTCTTACTAACTATCGAATTATTCGAATGAATTGCAACTATCGAATGTTTCGATAGTATTCATTCGATAGTTCCCACTACTAATTGATACACCTACACCCTCAATGATATACACCCTAACTACATGATATGAATCAATTAATTTAAGGAAAGATTCCGTTGTAGTGGGTGTTAAATAAATTATTAGTTTATCGTTCGGTTTTA